CACAATATCCTGAACAGCCCTATTGATTTATTCTTACCACTTGCACGTTTATTGAGTGACCTCCTTTCCTACACACATATACGTGTTCGATGACCTTGCTTGGTTTCTTTATGTTAATATGGGAACCGTCAATAGCACCTATTACCCCTGGGAAACGGAATTCACGATAAAATCTGTGGAAATCTGCTAACGCTGCTTTGCGAGATATTTAGCAAAAAGATTACGCATTTTCGTGAAAATAATTTGTTTAAAAATATACAAATCTATATTCACCTTGAGCGAAAAATCGCAAAGTTCCAAGGAATCGCACCTGCTGCAATTTCTCGCATATGAGGACGGATCTCCTCAAAGATACTGTTACACATTTCTTTTGTGAGCCTGAAAAGCTCCTCAAACCTCTCTTCAGAAACGTTGAAAGGATCCGTAGACTCCCTCAAGGTTTTGCGCTTTTTGCGAAGGCTGTTTTGAGGGGTCAGGTGTGACTTTTTACTAAGTGTGAACTGTACTCTTTCCAATGGGTTGGATATTAAGACCTACGATCCCTCCTCCTCCGCCCACTAACCCAAAAACAGTGGGCAAATAACTAAACATTTCCCCAAGCACTTGCTACGAAGAGTGAACTCCTCTAATATATTTATGTATTTGGTTTGACTCTTAATTAAAAAAAAGTCATATATACACTTGTGATCAGGTAACTAAGCCAGCAACATTTTGATAAATTTTGGCTATTTTGCTTTCGTTTATTTAATGTTTACTATTTCTCCATAAAAGTCTAGCTCATTATATGACAAACACCATATAAATCCAGATTTCAAACTTTTGTGCAAAAATTATCTGCAAAGTTTCAGCTAATTTTTCAACAAGCAAGTCTTAAGTTGTTAAAAAATCGCGATGATTTTTAATCATATTTTTCTGACCGCATTACAAATTTTTTTCCATACAAAATAAATTCGACAATTTGCACATTATTACCCTAGAATTTAATGTGCTATTAAACTGCATACTCAAAAAAATTCTAAAAAATCTTAATAAAAAGTTGGTAATTTAGCTGAAACTTTGAAGGTTTTTCATAATTTTTGTACAAAGTTTGAAATCTGGATTTATGTGGTGTTTGTTATATAATGAGCTAGACTTTTATGGAAAAATAATAAACATTAAATAAACAAAAGAAAAATAGCCAAAATGTTGCTGGTTTAATTAGCTGATCACAAGGGTATGTTTATGAAATAAATATATATGTACATACTTATATCAACACTTTCTTGCCATGTCACAGAACAAAGTCAACCAACTATTTTTGATGCGATCAGCATTAAAAACATCCATTGCATCATCCTTTAATAAACATTATTGTTGGATAGGAACGGATTTTCATTTCACGCGGTAAATACGAAAATCGTGTACAAAGAAGTTTTCCTACTCGTCTATTCAGGCCATGTAGTTCCAGAGCAACTTGCCCGAAAATTGGCTCTGTGTTTTTACAGTAACCACAACATTGTTCATAAAATATGACCATCGTCCTTCCAAGAAACGATTGGATGTGTGATTTAGTAAATAATGGCTAGCAACTTAAGAAGCGGCTTGCATAGTGAATTAACTTATATTTATAATATTTATTGCTGGTTTTCATGAATAGCATTACAGCAGTTTTTTGTAGTGGTGGTTGCAACAAAATGCTTAATTAACCGACTTGTTTTCACTTTGCAAACACTTCATTTAATTTGCAATCTAAAACTCTTCGATTGTACTTTATTAATTTTATTAATAATTTATATGAATTTATAATAATTCGGTCAAAATTATTGCAAGGTTCTACTTACTTTTATTTTCACTACTTTTCACTATTAAAATCAAAACAAAATTTGACAGCTGCCGTTGCTGCACAGCGCCTTTAGCGGCCGGATAAAGTAGTAAATTTAGGCTGAACAATTTTTAGCGACAGGGTGGACAGAATCGCAATCTTCGGAGATCGCCAAAAATTCGGATAAAATTTTAGCTTAAGCGTTTTAGCAGATTTTAGCATTTTAGCGGTAGCGAAAGTTGGAATCCGGGTACTGGCATCGGTTATTTGGAAGTCATTTTGGATTTTCATTTTCACATGCGTGTATAGTTGTAAGGCGAACGGAAATGAATGGGTGGATACAAATTTAAAACTATTTAGTAAATATATGAGGAAAATAACAATTATATTTTAGTATTCATACATCCTCAATTTTACACCAAAAAATAAACATTTAAGTGAATATCGGAATGACGTTGTTGCTGTGTATCTGGTAATCGACGATAATCGATTCGTTAAATTTTAGTATTAATAGGTGCGTTCGTTTAAAATCTCCAGCGGAAACCAACCAACTGCCAAATTTCGGCGAAATGTCATCTGTTCTCTCACAAGAGAGAAATATCCAAAATAGTACGCGAACAGAAAATTTGCAGAAACTTGCAAGTTAGACGAACAGCTGATATAATTTTTGTTTACATACAAAAGCGTAAAATTTAAAACGTACGAAAAGTCATCGCAAAGTGTTATACTGACACAGTTTATTGATTAAACAAATAACTACTTATTTCTTACAAGTTTAATTAGTCGCATTTTGTAATTTTTATCTTCAGACCCATCAAATTCAATTTTGTGATTTGCGTAAATGCCAACCAGCTGTTTTTGATCAGCTGTTTTCCTGTTGGCAAATTGCTGTTGGCAAAAATTTTTCCAACAGAAACCAGCAGCTTCCCCTCAAAATGAAATGTCAGTTTGCTCTCTCAATTTCCCCTACTTTGCAAGTTTTTTGCGTACGCGAACGCAAAAACTTGTAAGTTTTGGTTAAACATGAACAATTAACAGCTACGCGAACGAACCTAATATCATCAGTGAACTGTAATTTTTCAGAGCCTAATCTTCTATCTCGAAAAGACCGTTCGTTTCGTCTGCCAGATGTTCGTGTGTTGGCACCGTGTAAATCGAAGTCGTCTGGCAGTACGAAAACAACTGATCGTTACGTAGTTATCGTCTAGTTTAGAATTATCGAACGCGAAAAGAAGACGAAAGTGAATCGACAATCGTTAGAAATAGACGAAAGGTTATTGGTGATCGTCGAAATGGAGAATGCAGCTAAAAAAAATAGTAAATTTACTGAATATATTATTTATTTTGTGAAAAAAAATAAACGTTTGTGTTTTCAGTGCTTAAAAAACTGCAACCACGCAATTCGAGCCTGGTAAATGAATTACAGAGGCAAGAGGATTGCCAGTATTTGGATCTGATCGAGGAAGGTTAGAGGAGAGATGAAGCAAATAAGAATAAAAATAAATTCGCACGGTCCACCAACCAGAAGTGCTATTGAGTGGAAGAAAGTAAGTATATATTTAAATGTATATTTCATGTCAAACAACAATCGGCGAAGTTTTTTCTCTTTATATGGTATTTTTTATTTATGGTATATTTTTTCTCTTTATAGGTAGGTATCTGCAATAAAAAGTGTATTTGTAATTAAAAACAAATACACTTTTTATTGCAGATATTTGCAGACCTAAAAAGCCGCACAAAAAAAATATTGCTGAAACTGCGCGCAGTATAAAAGGTGTTGGTGGGGGTCCATTCCGTCACTCTCCGAAACGGGACAGAGCAGCAGCACCCAGCGGCAGGATTTTTGGAGTTTCTGGACCTTCAACATCAGCATCAAATTTCAATGAATCTTCGGATACGGAGATGCCCGCCCTTTTTGTGTTGGAAACTGTAGCGCCAGCGTTCTATTTAATGTTAAGTGTCTATGAATGCATTTGCCGGAAGTCAAAAATTACCTAACGAGAATTGCCTATTACTTTCAACTACATAAAACCCCAACACTCTTATCCCAGTATTTATAACTTGGTGCGAAACTCCACTAACCCTACGGTTCGATAAGGCAGTTATGAGTATGGATGTATTTGTGTGAATGTGTGAGTATGTGAAAGTGGAGCTTTGAGCATGCGTGAGTTGATGAGGGTGAGCGGTTTTTCTCTGCCACTTTTCCCTCTCCACTCTGCGATAGGCCAACGGGAGGTGAACGAGTTAAACGGCCCGGTGATATACCGCCAGCATATCCTGACGAATAGCATGGCTGAATTTCATGGGATCTGAGTTAAGTTAATGTGATAAATTTAGTGGGAAAATTTAAGCCCCACGATTATCAGTAACCTATACGGAAAACGTCTACAGAAGTCCGCTCATACTTGCAAACCTATGTACATATGTGTAAGCACGGAGCCAATATGTGCGTTTGTGTGTGTGCAAGTATGGCTGCGCTCAGTATACGTATACTTATAGATGTGAAAAATAATTAATCTCCCATGTCACAATTGCAGGTCGCCACGAGGAAAAAAACGAAAAAGGAGGCCTCCAATCTGCCGGATGAGCTCCCACTACCATCAGACCGGATACTCGTAAATTTACGCAGCACGACTACCACCAGCTCCATCGATCCGACCGCGCAGGCCCTCTACCATACGCTACTACATACAACCAAATAGAAATTCTGGCGAAGATCGCAGTCCACTCCACAGAAAACGCAACCACAACAAATAGCACGTTAGACCAGCTGATCCAGCGATTGGGCGTCATACACGTCAACAGCCGCCTTACATAACCAAAAATGTGGCTATGTATACATATGTGAGCTTGAGAACTATATCAAACTAAGCGTAGCAGAGGGGGGAGCGCCAAACAGCTGGAGGCAACGATCGTGGTGGGAGCAAAATCAATCATACCAACTGTAGCAGAGAAATGGATCAGAGTGGGAGCGCCAAAGAGCGGGAGCCAGCGAGCAGCGCAGAGGAGTCACCGACATCAAGTGGAGCAAAGGAGCGACGGCGTCGCCATCCAGCAGCAAGCCGCCGGGCGTAGGGCGGTGGCACTGATCAATGCTAGATTGATAGGTTTTTACTAGACTCCTTTTTTTTGAGTTTGGATTAATTTGAATGGTTTTTTTTTATTAAACTACTAGTTCATAAGTTTAGTTTTTAAGAAGTTGCTTTTATGTGTTTTTTTATTTTTCATTTGCACTGATACCATAGTTTTTCGTTTTGTCCATTACTTACCCACTTCATTTATTTTCCCTCGTTTTCACTGGAATACTTTAGTTTCCTTGTTATTTTATTTCGTTCTAATTCGAGCACATGTATGAATTAGCTTTGTGAAGTTTGGTAAATTTTAAACTTATCGTTCTCATACTCATACGCTATTCGAATTTCATAAAAATTTCATTTCATTTCAGGCGTTGTCCTTTTAAGTTTTAAACGAATTCATTTTCGGCACTCACTCATAGTTTTCGCGGTTTCACTAGTATGAGTAGATTTTTGAAGTTTCGTTTCTTGTTTTTTTCTGATTTGGTCACGTCAGTATGAATTTATATATATGTATATATAAATACCTTTTTTGTTAATTCGAGAAGTTGGTTTTATATAGTCGGTCCCGTAAATTAGCTTCTTTATGGCACAGGGTTTTGTTCTTAATTTTTTTTTGCGTAAGGGTACCATCGATAGTTGACCCGCTCGACGCCCGCCACCACGAGCGAGTGATCGAGCTAACAAAGATCATATCAATAAGACCCTTACTATAGGCATGTGAATGTATGTATGTGATTTGTAGGGTAAGCTCTCCCCATCTAGGTTCTCTTCGGCGTTGCTGGTACCAT